CCCTCCCTTCAGAGAAAAGATAAATCTGTCTTTGGAAAAGTCTTAGATACCTATCATTTTGTTCTTCAAGCAGAGTGATGACAAGAACCTGAAAATGAGATATCTGTTACAATGTGTCATACCTGTGACTTCTAATATAGAAAAGAAGTACACAGAAATGGAAGCAATTCCTACTTTTCTCCTTTTTCTTCAAATTAAAGCCTGAAGATCATATTTGTTCTTTTGAATTAGTCTACAGAGTTCTAATGCAAGGTTGTTTGTCTTTAAGGTCAGGTTAGACCTTGCCTCTCAACCACATTTAGTGTATATTCCTTCAATACCTGCAATATCATTTTGCCCACTTTTATGGCATCCATGCTGCACTATTCAGCACCTGAGAAATAGCAGATTTGCATGTCTGTTACGTTTCTGTCAACGTTGGGGCAGTCAGATTTTTCCTCATTCAGCATGACAGTAATACAGGAAAAATAAGAAATATTCAAATATTACAGTGTCAAAAGCTTTTCCTCTTGTTCAGTTAATAGTCCGGAATCACATTAATATGCGTTGTAGCGTAATTGGTACAGGCCTGTATAAGTATTCACTGTTCTATTGACTTCATGCCCTTGAATTTATTTTGCGTAGCCAAATTGTACTGCAACTGAGCGAGCCATTGCGAGACTTGCAACACACCCCACCTTGAAACCCAGATTTGTTGAACTTAAAGGTATGAAGTATTTTATTAATTTGTTTATGACTTCAGTATCTTACTAGTGTGTTACCTTGTTCCTGTATATTCCTGACATGAATAACCAGCATAAAAAGTAAAAAAAAAAAAACTGAAAAGCTCCTATAATTACTTTAACTAGCAGCAGTGGACTAAATGTCACAAGTTTGTGGTCATTTATATTGGTCAAAATGAGCTTATTCATGACAGTGTGCTGTATGACATTTAAGATACAGGGTGTAGGAAAAACAGAGCTCATAATGGGAACTCTAAAAATCGAATGGATATAACGGAGCATCTCTAAATTAAACAGGACTGAACAGACAATGAGCACAATAACATGCAGATAGAAAGGTAAAAGGAGTATTACAACTGAGTTTCCAAAGACAGCTAAAAGGTTTTACAAATTGCTTCCTTAAGCTTCCCTGGAAACTGTCCCCAAAATCCTTAGGGAGTCTTTCCTGGTTCTTTAAACCTTCTCTTTAAACTCCAATTTTCTGACTAAAATTGATGTTAAAAAGAGCCAAGTCTCAGTGATAATGTCACGAAGTTACTTTGTTAATACCAGAGCATGTCAAATACTCATTTAATTATATCTGAGCAATTTCCTATTTGTTTGCAGTTTTTACACACAAAGTAATGCCCTAAATGAAAATAAAAATTATTATCAGCCGAACATTTTTTGCTGAAAGAAAAGTTCGCAGTTAAACCCAAGTTTAACGGTGTATTCAGTTGGTAATAATTCATTTTCCTCACTTTTGCTGATGCTGTGCTCTAAGGTATTTCTTGCCCCATATGTTCAGTAAATGACTGATAAGGACATTCAAAATACGCTTACTCAATACAACCTATTTAACTTGCAAGAATGTTTTATTATATTAAAATAACTTATGTAAACTCGTGTAGCTGCAACAAAATATTTTTCTTCTGCCCCTCTATAGCTGCTGTAAAAGCTTTTAAGGATGCAAGAAAGAATACAGCCAATGCCACTCCTTCGAAAAAGGCTAAGTCAGAAGAACAGCCTCAATCAACACATTTCAATAGCAATTTGGATGACCAAGGTCTTAAACTAGCTCAAAAACAGCAAGGATGTGAACACAAAACAAAAACCAGTATGAAAATAGAAACTGACAGGGTGGCTGAAGAACTTTGTGAGAGTGAATCTGAGCAGAAAACTGTGGAAATGGAGAGAGCGTATGCTCCAGAAGAATCTTCATCTCAAGCAGTCAAAATGCAAGCAGTCACACAGAATGAAACAGGAAAGAAACTTGGCTGTCAAAAAATGAAAGAAAGTATGAGCATGAACAAATTAAATGCAAAAAAAGAAATAATTAATGATGATAGTGACCAGGAACAACCTAAAGAAGAGGAGTACTTCGATGATAGTACTGAAGAGAGGTTTTATAACCAGTCATCAGATTCTGACAGTGACAGCAACGATGATTTCTTCATTGGCAAAGTAAAAAGAAAGAAAAAGATAGCAGCTGTTACTGATCTTTCTTCAGCAAAAGAAAATGGTAGATTTCAGAAAAACATAGTGAAGAAAGAAAAGAACACAGCACCTGGAACAGCGCAAGATTTGATTGTGGAAGAAGGAAAGCCACATGCAAAAGCAAGCAAGCTAGAATCAATGTTCTGCAGTTCTTTGTCTACTTCTAATCAGAAATCTCAAAACAGAAGAAGGTAAACCTTTTCTCCTTGTTATGTTCTCCATTCCTTCTCTCCTTCCCAGTAATGGAATTTGTGATTTTTAGTAGCTTTTACCAAGCAAGAAGAATTTCAGCCAATTACAGCTTAGAACATTTTCACGTAAACTGCTCTGCAGTCGTCTTGTGCTTTCTTGACACTTTCATATTTTTTCATACTCACATTAGCACTGACACATACATAGGATTCCTAGCTAGAGCTGCATCTGAATTAAATTGCTACTGAATACTTCTATTTTTACTTCTTTATTAACAAACAGGAAAGAATATATAAAGGTTTTGTACGTTATGCTTGCAAAGTCATTGCACAGGTGTTTTGGTGATGACGATTCTTTATTCACCGTTTTTTGTCATCTTACAAGTTTCTTGAAAAACACTGAATTCTCTTTCTATTTTTAGAAATACCAAAGACCAGCCTCTCAAAAATGGAAGAACAGGTATGTATTACTTAACCTGGCAAATTTATAAGAGTAAAAACATCTTGAAATTTTGTTGCCTCTGCCATCTAATCATGACAGGCCGGTTTTTGCTTCATTTCAATTTTGTGGCACATATTTTAACATTTCTTGTTAAATGGTCAAATTTTGAGCTCTCATTTTCATCTGTGGATGTTGTTTGCTGCTTGCTATTTTTGAATATTAGAAATACTTAAAGTCAAGTTTACACAAGAAAGTGCTTGTCCATATGTCTTCATTTTGAACAGTTAGTGTTACCTGCGCACACGTAAAGGTGTCAGATTGCGGTATTTAACAAGTAGCTTATCTCATGAGTAATTCCTTCAATAGCTTCTTCATTTTTTTCTTCCATTTATAGTATATGACTCCATTTTGGAATTCATTGGATCAGGGGTATCATTTCAGTCATACTGAGTGACACTGCGTAATATCTCATTGATTTATTGTGAAGAAAAAAATTGATACTGTGCTGAATGTTTGTCTACACAAATTTTGAATGTGGTCAGTAATAATAAATATTAACCACCTGCAGAATACCAAATGATAATTTACTGGGCTGCAAGATGAGGTAATCTTGCTGTGAACATTCAGATGAATGTGTTACCCATGGCTCATTAAGAAATTCTTGAAAATATCTGCAATCTCAAGGCAGTTCTACCATATTTTCATGAAGGTTCATGATGTAGTTAATGTTTTATTTTGTACTTCTTTTGCAGCTTTTCTTAAAAAGGAACCGCAGCTCAAGAAGCAACCGTTTGCAAAAGCTACAAGTATTAAAGGCAACAATAAGAAAGCGTGTTCGGAGCAGCCTCTTCATCCTTCGTGGGAAGCAAGCAAGAGACGCAGGGAACAAATGTCTCAAATTACAGCATTCCAAGGGAAAAAGATTAAATTTGAAGACTAGCTATGTGTAAATTGAGATTTTAAGAAAGATCATGGAAGATTTGTATCTCATAGTATTTTCCTATGAAGTAACAACTGCTGTTTGAACACTTTGTTATACTGTCCTTATCCTTTGCAACCTATAAAATAACAACTGCTAGAACTTAACCATCTGTTAACAATGAAGATTGCTTCAATTATTCAGTGTATACTGTCCGTTAACTGATGTATGGTCATATGGTGTTGGAATCAAATACATCTCAACTGAGAAAAAGTAAGAGATTCTTAAACTTGGACAGACTTCACAAATTCATGAATATGTCAGGTAGCTGGAAAAGCCAATCAGTAGTATTCATGATATGAAAATTTCTGGAGAGCAATAAAATATTGACCTGCTAAATTTTGATCTCTGTCCTTTGACTATACTGCCGATTTGAAGAACTAAAAGAGTGTCTGTAAGAATGTTGTCCTGGTGGGTACATCTGGGTGCTCTAGCATGTCTGTCTTGCACTTTCTGAAAGAATACTGGAATACTGAAAGGTCTTTGTACACTAAGGAATATTTGACTTTTAAGTGCCGCTCTGAGTTTGACAGTTCATTTGACTTTGGGATATGGGGTAAAATCTTCACTGTATTTTTCTCCAAAGGCTTTTCCTACTGCTGAATTGAAACAAGTTATGAACTCGTAATTAATCTTTAACAGTGTTGTTTATTTAATATAGTTATCTGTCATAATCTCTTATTTTTCATAATCAAATTATTTCAGAAACTTGGTAAATTACTGCAGCGGGTGTAAGATTATACACTGCAGTTCACGTAACATTTTGTAATGCCTAAGAATAGCCCTGCATCAGACCAAAGGTCCATCTAGCCTAGTATCTTCAACAGTAACCAAAAAGGCATGCCTTAAGCATAGGGGTAAAGGAAGCACACAGTCATGCATCATCCAACTTCTAACTCACTGAGCTACCAGTTCTGTGATATTGTACCTTATTGTATTTAAAAATCTTCAATGAATTTCTTTTCTGCGGATTTATCTGCTCTTAAGTTCATGTAAACTTGTGGAATTCTGTAGTCCCTTAAGATGTAGAAGTCCTTCCTACATATTACACTCGTAGGAGAAACAGTCTTTTTCTGTGTCTCAGCAAAGAAGGCCACCAGCCTCCTGGGCTGCTTAAGAAAAAGCATTCCAGCAGGATGAGGGAGGTGATCCTTGCCCTGTACTGAGCACTGGTGAGGCCACATCTGAAGTGGTGGGTCCAGTTTTGGGCTTCCCAGTAAACAAGGGACATGGACAGACTAGAATGAGTCCAGCAAAGGGTGGCCATGACAACTAAAGACTTGAAGTATGTGACATATGAATAGAGACTGAGAGAGCTGGGACTGTTCAGGGGAAGCAAAGGCTCGGGAATCTTGTCAATGTGTATAAATACAGGAGTTGGAGGGGGAGTGTTAAGATCGAGATAGGCTCTACTCCATGCTATTGAGAGGCAGGACAAGAGGCCCTGGGCGCAAACTGAAATACAAGAAATTCTGCTTAAACAAGAAAAACCTTTTTCACTGTGCAAGTGACAGAGCACTGTCATAGGTGCGCAGAAAGATTGTGGAGTCACCATCCTTGGAGATACTCAGAACCTTACTGGACACAGTCCTGGGTAACCATCTCAAGGTGACCTTGCTTGTACAGTGGGTTTCAACTAAATGATATCCAGAAGTCTCTTCCTACCTCATCTGCTCCTTGTGATTTTGTATACTTACAGCTGAGTCAAGCAATCATAGAATGGTTTGGGTTGGAAAGGACCTTAAAGATCTAGTTCCAAACCCCCCTGCCATGAGCCAGGACACCATCCACTACACCAGGTTGCTCAAAGCCTCATCTAGCCTGGCCTTGAACACTGCCAGGGATGGGGAAGCCACAGCTGCTGTGGGCGACCTCTTCCAGTGCCTCACCACCCTAGTAGTGAAGGATTTCCTCCTTAAATCTAATCTAAACCCTTTTTCAGTCTAAATCCGTTGACCCTTGTCCTATCACTACACGCCCTCACTCGATAACCAGCAGCGGGTCCGCAGGGGAGTTACTGGGTGTGTCTAAAACGTATAGTCACTGTGTGATACCTCAGTGTATTCCACTTGAAAAGACGACTGAGTCAAATGGCAGGAACAAGTTTATGGGTTTTGAGGTAGTGCCTCTCAGTTGCTGGTATGGCCTCCTCTCTCTCCTGCAGACTTTGTATCTTAGTATTTATAGCCCAGCAATTTCTGCCCATTCTTCCATCCTGCATTAAGTTCTTGAAGGCTAAATATTCCAGTTGGTCCATTTTCTGTTACTATCTAGGCATGTCTTAGCCCTGCTTGGTTACGCGTTCTTTTCTGCATCCTAAACAACTCTCAGTATGTGTGGTATTATCTTCCTTAATGGCATTGCCACCCAGAGGAATTAGAAATTCAAATAACCTTCCATTTCCCAGTGGGGTTTTTTTTGTTGTCGTTTTTCTGTACTATGTGGAACAACATCTAAGACCAGAAGCATCAAAATAAAACATGGAAGGAAACATGTTTACTGTGGTGTTCTAGGGAAGGATCCTATTTTGTAGAAAAAGCCATGCATTTACTTGCTATATACAAGCTCTTTAAGTTTTCCAGATGCAAATGCTGATGCCTAATGTTTTAAATAAATAAGTGAATAAATCCTAGCTGAATGCTACACCAAACAAATGTTTGGTATGCGACTTCTCTGGTTCCAGTAACAGGCAAGAAAAAATTACTTTGGTAGATGTCATCAGCTATGATACAGTTTTTCATGGTCAGCTTGTCTGTCTTTCAGCAGGTGAGCACCCTATTTTAAGAGCTGATTCACATTAAAGACCAAAAATTTAAGGACTGCAAATAGTTCAGAAAAAATTTTAAAAAGACTCTTGAAGGAGCTTATGTTCTAAAGCACTTTTTTGCATGTGCTTAGAGATCTAGGAGCATTGGTTTATCTTGGCATTTGAGCAAGTTTCTTACTCCATTCTCAGAGGTGTAATTTGTGGCCATAGAATTCTTCCTGAAGGAAGCCTGACGTTATCAAAACATCTTTCTTTTTCGTCTTCAAAAACACTTCTAAACTCTAAAGAAAAGAAGAAAGATAACATACATACACTGAACATGAATGAGAGAGATTAAGTTACTGGCATTGCTTCCTATTTTAGTGGGTTGCTACTGCTTTTAGCTGGTGCTTAGTGACTCACCTGGATCACAGCCTTAGTGCACTATACAAATAAGTAGTGATGGTTGACACTTGATAATATTTTTTATGTGCGACTAGGCAGTTTTTTGTGAACTGATAAACCCAGTGAACTTGCCTGGAGATTGCTGATAAAGTTCAGAACATTTTCTCCTCATTTATAACAATATAGCATTTTCCGTATATACATGATTTTAGCACCTATCTGTAGTACTGTTTAGACAGAGAACTCTCTCAAAGTACTACCAATTTATTTTTATAGTGATATGGAAAGTTATTTCATTCTGTGACGATTAGATTTAAAAAACCTTGAGAAATATGCTTTCCAGTTCAGTAATATACCATAGAAGAAATGTTCTTAGTCAGGGTACATACTGTCAGGTACTACTAGACTCCTTCAGGTGCACAGTTTTTTTCACTTCAGACTTACCGAAAAAACATTCTCAGATTTTTCAATGTCTTTTAAGAGAGTTGGTATTAGTTTAAATGTGATTATTTTTTTAAGAAAGACAGGCGTACTATTGATAGCACCAGTTTGAAGATTTCCAAGTGGGCATAAATATTTCTATCATCAGTTTTTATGGACTGATTGGATCAAGAGAAACAGGGCTTGAAGGAAAATTCAGTTACAGCAGTACTTCCTTAACCAGAAGTGTTGGGCTGCTTTCTAATTGTAGACTGGCAATAGATCATTTTGCGATACTAGGTGGGTGATCTAATGTGAAAATGAGATAGTAGAATAGCAGGTAAAAGATACTTGGAAACCAGGAGATGCTTTATTTTCAATAAATTTGAATATACTTTCAGCAATAATTAGGCATTTTTGACTGCATTTTTGTATTTGCGTGGATTCTGATCCACACCAGGTTCTGCACACAAGGGATAGCACTTGCAGGCATGCTCGGTTTGAAGCTCTTAGCTCTAATATGTAGTAGTATAGGAATAATTTAGATAAATAAATTACAGAAACATCATCACAACATTTTTGGTATCTGAAGTAATTCTACATTTATTTTATGAATTTTAAAAGATAATTCCATTGTTTTTGTCTCCATTTACTGAAAGCCAAGAGTGCCATTAGTTGATATTTAAGTGTTTGTCAACCTCTTACTGGAGTGAACATTCTGAAGTTTTTAACCATGCTCTTCTGTATTAATCCCTCAGTGAAGGGACAAGAGATGCTTCACAATTCAACCTATTTCATCAGCTTGCCATACGGATTGAAGAGGCAGCCGGACATTTGTTCATACTGAGAGAATGTAAATAACAAAAGATAAAATGTTTTTGGAGTAATTTAGTGTTAAATGGATGGACTGCTACCATGGACTGCTCAAATGTTCTTTCCATGAAAGTAAAGCTTTTGCAGCAGAAATTCTGCAAGTGGTTTCTCAGTTCCTATTCCTACAGAGAGAGCCGATACCGTAAGGAAATCTTATACCCAGAGGAACCATACCTCATCCTGTTAGGCCTTCACGTGTTAAGCCTTTGTGTAGTCTGAGAGGTGATTTACCATGCCTTGCAACTTTTTCTTTCTTGTTTCTAACTTCTTGTGACATTTTTTTCTGAGACCATGTCAGTGCGACAGTCTTCCGCATTTTCATATAGAAATAACAACTTCAGTGGAAGCTTTCTCATTGAGAGATGGATCTGGCCTATGCATTAAGTATAATACTTTGACGAGTAGAACGCTTGAAACATTTTATTCAAGTCATTTTCACATAAACTTGCAACCATAATACGGGCATGTAACACAAGAATATGAAAGTGCAATGAAGAATACAAAGCTAGTGCCTGAA